TTCGCACCCTTTCGGTCCCGAACCGTTCGCACCCTTTCGGTCCCGAACCGTTCGCACCCTTTCGGTCCCGAACTGTTCGCACCCTTTCGGTCCTGACACGTTCGCAACCTTTCGGTACCAACATGTTCACACCCTTTCGGAACCGATACGTTCGCACCCTTTCGGTCCCGACACGTTCGCACCCTTTCAGTCCCGTCACGTTCGCACCCTTTCGGTACTGACACGTTCGCACCCTTTCGGTACCGACACGTTCGCACTCTTTCGGTCCCGATATATTCGCACCCTTTCGGTCCCGTCACATTCGCACCATTTTGGTTTCGACACGTTCGCACCTCTTGGGTCACGGCACGTTCGTACCTCTTGGTTCATGACACATTTGTACCTCTTGGGTTCGCACCTCTTGGGTCACGGCACGTTCGTACCTCTTGGTTCATGACACATTTGTACCTCTTGGGTTCGCACCTCTTGGGTCACGGCACGTTCGTACCTCTTGGTTCATGACACATTTGTACCTCTTGGGTCACGACACATTTGTACCTTTTGGGTCACGACATGTTCGTACCTCTTGAATCACGATACGTTCATACCTCTTCGGTCACAACACATACAAATATTATTTTCTAAAAAGTCAATATTAATATTAAAAGCTTATGAAAGGGTATGACAAATAAGATGGTGGTTATTCAACGGAAATATATGTCTTTTCAATGAAAAGTTGCCAAATATTTGATGACATCATCAATCATATGAAAATGTTTCTTTACGTCCATTAGATTTTAAATTCAAATTAATTATGACCATTTGATTAAATTTTTATTTTCCTATAATAATTTGCTGATGTTACTTTCAGATTGCTATTATATATAGATATCAGTGTTAAATAAATTTATCCTTATTATATGTAATCTCACACCATTTGAAAAGTAGTCGCTATTTTAATAGCAGGGATAAATTTAAAAGAATTTAAATATATATGAGATGTTCGTTCAATTTCTTCACTTATTTCAGTTCTAGTTCTTTTCTAGCTTAAACAAACAGGACTAAAGTAAAATTCAATAAATCTGCGATGGCCAGTTGTATGTAGTTTGATGTTTGGTATGTTCTTGTCTTTCACATAATATTATATATATTTTCTTTTTATCACATTTTTAATTTGGTACGGATTCTAAATTTATTTTATTATACATGGTTAAAGTAACTATTTGTAACCGGATTAAGCCTCACTTTTTTAAAAAGAACTATTTGAAACTGGATTAACAATTATCGCTTAAATCATATTTATCTTATACTCAAACCTTGTATCAAAGTTGATTAATTCTAATCTTGATTTAAATAGAGCCAGATCTCTTAATTTTATAAAAGACATATTCACTTGCCCGTCTTCGTAATTAATATTAAAATATTGTTTGAAGAAATGATAAAATTCAGTCGGGTTCACACTTGCAAAAAATACTATAAATAGAGGGATCCGTTCCATACACTTTCATTCATCATTACACATTCGATTAATACTCGAGAGATTAAAAATGGCGCGTTTCTCTGGTTTACACCTTCTCTTCTTCTCCTTCATCATAGCTACAGGTATACACTTTGCTCTTCCTTCTAGTAAATCATTGTTCTTATATCCTTATTCTTAGAGCACATGCATCGCGGGACGCTTAACGCAAAAAGTAAGGGAAGGGTCCCACAAAAAGATAAAACTCGGTGCTTCAAGTGCCCGAAGAAGCGTCGACTTCTGCTTGTTGTTTGGACTATTCCGCGGGCCCCACGACACGTGGCGGCCTACGATTGGTCCTTTTATTTTTATTTTTTATTTTTATTTTTTAAGTCCAGCAAAAACCAAAAAAAAAAAAACCTAAGCACTCTTTTTTTGTTTTCAACGATAAACATGCTCTTATCCGCTTATGGTTTCACAAACCTATATTCACAAATAAGTATTTTTGAAAACATCCCTTTATTGATGGTAAACATTAATATATATATTTCTTAATTCGTCTGTACAACTGTAGAGTGACACTTATAATGAAATAAAGTGAGTAATAGTTATAAACTATATAACTAACTAACTTTGAATGAATACTATTATGCAAGGCACAATCTCCCTCGTATCCGGCACCGTCATCACCATCGTGAACAGCTGCAGTTTCCCCGTCTGGCCGGGACTCCTCACCGGAGACAAAGGTGCGCAACTCAACGACGGGGGATTTGAGTTAGCCCCAGGAGCTACCATGGATGTTACCCCACCTGCTGGATGGTCCGGCCGGATATGGGGCCGAACGGGCTGCAACTTCGACGCCTCAGGCACGGGAAGTTGCCTCACGGGAGACTGCGGCAACACCCTAAAATGCCCAGTCGGCGTGGGAGGAGCTACACCGGTCACACTCGCCGAGTTCACAATCGGCAAAGACGGCAGACCCGACAACTACGACGTAAGCCTCGTGGATGGTTACAACATCCAGATGGCACTCACGACACGAGACGGCACAGGGGATTGCCGAAGCGGTGGGTGCGATTCGGACCTGAACGGGAGCTGTCCTAACGACCAACGCGTTTTGGACGGAGCGAATAATGTTGTGGCGTGTAAGAGCGCATGCGAGGCGTTTAAGAAGCCTGAGTATTGTTGCACCGGTGCTTTTGATAAGCTCGAGACTTGTCCTCCCACGGATTTATCGAAGATGTTTAAAGCAGCTTGTCCTAGAGCGTATAGCTACGCTTACGACGACAAAAATACGAGCCTTTTCACTTGCACTAATGCTAATTACTCCATCGTTTTCTGTCCCAAAGCATAGATACTATGCATCACACATGCATACATTATCATTATCATTATCATTATCACTATATATCATTATCAACGTGTATTACCGTGGATAGGGGTGGGCACGGATCGGATATCCGGGTGTTCGAAGGTATTTGTGATTTGCTTCGTATGTTACGGATATCTGATTTTGGTATTTGCTTTGCTTCGGAAAAATACGGATATCCGGAAAAACGGATATCCGGAAAATAAACAGATATTTGCGGATATTTACGAATACTTCCGAATATCTCATCCGTTACAAATAATCATATATAAATTTATTTTGTAAATTTTTTTTTACATGATATATAAAATAAAAAATAAAGAAGTAGTGAATTTACATATTTTATAATTTTTTATGTTTAAGTTTAACAACTATAATAACACAAAACTTAAGATTTTTTTTTATAATTTTCATAATTTGTCTCTTCTTTTTATCTAATAATTTTATATAAGTAATAATGTGAATATAATTAGTCAAATCATAAGCTATAATAATAATTTTATACATTTAAATTTTTAAATATAATCAAAATATACATATATTTATATATTTCCGGATCGGATCGGATATCCGCTTCCCAAAATTTTAATATTTGTGATTTGATTCGATTTTAACGGATATTGAGTTTTAGTATTTGCTTTGATTCGAAAGTTTACGGATATCCGGAATTTTCGAATCGAATCGAGACGAATAACGAATCGAATCAAATTTAATGAATAAATTGCCCAGCCCTAACCGTGGATGTAATAAAGAGCTTTTGAGGAATGAGATAAATTCCCCTAGGCTGACATTTATAGTGAATAATAAAATTTGTGAAGATATCGAGGGTGATTGGACAAAGCTGTGTGTGCTGTGCACAGTTTCAAATCTCTCCACAGCACTAAAACAAAAGCAATCAAGCTTTGGTTAGTTTTTTTAATCTCACAGCCATATCTGTTTTTTCTTTTATTTTATGGCTGTAGAGAGCTAATTTTCTAGAGCACTCTCTCAACTGCTCTTGAAAATATTTTTCCACTTTTCTATAAAAGTACGTACACCTCTTTTCATATATAGTAATATATTTTATTAATATAATATAATTATATATATCTTACATATATAATTCACAAAAATCTTTCAAATAATATGTATACATATAAACGGTATATAAATAAAACTTTCACATACATATATATAAATAAAAATTTGATATTTTAATTTATATCATAATCATTATACAGTTTATACAATAATTAATCAATTTAGAAATTCTAATTTTAAGATATTATTATTTTATTTTAATGTTAATATAATAAATTTTAATTTTAATATATATGTACAATGTTAATATTAATCAATCATACTTTCTCTGGAAATTCACAGCTAAAAATCTTACAGCTACAACACAAAATCCTACAGCAAAGATTCTGCAGCCAAAATATAAATCTACAGCTGCAACCAATAGGACCCATCGTGTGATTAGCTTTTTTTTTTTTTTGTGGAACGATAATACACTACAAGTCTACAACACAGATATGTCTAATATTCAGAATATTTTCAAACGTGAATGATTTTACTCACTCAATAAGCTCAAAGTATTTTAATCAATCAGAATTGTATCAATAATATGGTATATAATTTTTCTTGTACTTAATCATAAGACAATGTTATTAAATTTCCAAATACAATCAGATTCGTTATGTTATTCTAGTAATTAACTGCTTGATGCATCATTATTAATTAATTAAGCTACTAAATACTGTACATGATTTTAATGGTGTTATACAGTTTTCAAACTTTTCATAGTGGAGTTTGGTTGTATCTGTATATGACTTCTACTCGCAATAGGCTTATCAATAAATTATGTTTCAATCTAGTATATAAAATAATGATACCATCGTTTTAAGATAAAAATAAGAGTAAGATAGATAGGTCACATAAAGCATATTTACATTGTAACATACTAAAATATCAGAACAGAGTAATTTTAATTGGGAGCTTTAGAGAGTCATGATTTTTGGTTTCAGGGTTTTTTTGTTTGATGAGGTAATTACATGGCTAAACAACAGAAGCAGGAAGAAACAACATTCTACTCATTAGCCAAACATCTCCAGAACGAGCTAAAGATTAGCTGCAGCAAGCCACAAATGGTTAAACAAGTTTGGCATTACTGTACTTACATGATCTGTTATAAAAGTCAGGGCTTGTTTCTTTTTAGCTGATGCAGTCAAGATCAGTGTTTCTGGCTTCTTTTGATTGCAACTTGCACGTTCTCTTCATTCTCTTTGCAGCTTGTACAAATCCCATGATAACTTGAAGCTCATCCATTTGCTGAAACATCATAGGTTAAAACATTTTTATTGTACTATTAGACCCAAAAGTATAACACACAAGACTAATCAAGTAAAGTCTCAGAAGGATAACAAATATACCTGAGACATAAAATGTCTCTGAACAATGTCAATTAGTTGTTCCTTTGATGGATTTGGAATTGCATCCACCTACAAGGAGTTTATTCAGGAGCAAACACAAATTAAGTAGAGTTCAAGACTGAGTAAAGAGAAGGCTTTGTTTCTTCTTAAAATCAACTTACGAGGTTGAAGTGTTGCCAATATTTCAGTAAAGCAGGCATTTCCAGTTTGCTAAGATCAACCTTCTGCATGAAAGCATGTTATTAAAGTTAAGATCAGTCACATAAAGTTTAATAGCAAATAGAATGAACCTCAAAAATTTGGAATGCATACCATGTTTTGAGGGGGAGTGAAAGCAGAGCTTTTAGATTGGGAGTCAGATGATAGAGACCTGCTCAGGGTCTTGTGAGATGAACGAGCTGATCTCGGCCCTCTTTGCTTAGACTTGTGAGGCTTCAGTGTGTCCTCGGAAGCTGGAAAAGAAACAACTTGTCATAGAAACAATACTGAAAATATCAGTTTATAAGGTTACAGCTTTTATGTGTCCAAAGAACAATGTGACACTTAGTAACTCAATGGAGACTAAATAAAGTTGAGAAGCAAAGGAATCAAACTTACTCATATCAGAACCATTCCTCAGTGTGTTTTCGAAATCAAGATCATCATCATCTTCGTTTCCAGTAGGAGCTTCAAGGACACTGAGTGCATTCCTCTGCAACTTTACTTCTATCCCATTTGTCAACACCTAAAAGGAACAACAATGATTCGGAATAAATAATATTACTCCATTAAATTAATTCCACAAGAAAAAAGAGTAGATATGATATGTTCCCATATAATTTAAAGAAACTTCCATAGGAATTATAGGAGACAGAACCGGTGGAATGTGATATCATATAATAAGAAAACTACTACTGTGAGCAAAATCGTATATATTATTCAGATTATTCCTTAAAGTTTAAAGCCAGAATATGGTGAAGTTACTCTTCTTTTTGGTCCACATACACAGAGACACTATAAACAAAAAGGATCTAGGCAGAACAATTTAAAATCTGATAAAAGAAAAGTCGACAGAAGTGACACTGCTTGGGGACGAAAATGACTCAACTAAAATCAAAAGAAGAAAACAAATGATTATATCATTAATCAAAGACTCTTAAAATTTCAAACAGCCAGCTTGAATCCATAAAGGTAGAGAAACATGATGGATAATTAGATAACAAGTGCATATTTGATATGATGTTATTTTCAACAGGCGCGAAAAAAACATAAAGTTGCCTTTTTTTTTTTTCCTGCCTAACTTTTAATGTTAAAAAACTCAAAAATTTCTCTTATCCTTCCCTATTGCTGATTCCTGAGATTGAGCCTGAATCTCAGCAATGAACATCCAAATTTAAGATAGTACTCAGAAGCTTTTTATTAGTAAACTTTAATCAGGAGAAACTAATAAGAAAATTAAAATAAAATAAAATAAAAATCAATGAAGGTTCCATGAATAACCTAACTAAACTAAGAACACCAATAGCAAGGCTGAACAGTTGTAAAAATCCAGCAAAAACAATAATGGTAAAACTTAAATGCTAACATGCATGCAAAGAAGCTCAATCGCCAGATTTTAAAAAAAATTACAGATTTAATCACACTCTTAACTCTTTGATTTAAATGATAAGATACAAGGAAAAAACATTACAATTATTACTTGGTGAATCTGTAACTAGTAAATCGAAACTTATTGATGATTATATCATTTAATTAAAACACATTTCCCATAAACTAAATCATTTCCAGAAATTTAAACAAAAAAAAAAGAAAAATTTACAGATTCAAATTTGATAAATCCAGAGTAACCCTAAATTGGATCGGAACGTTTTCACTTATTAAAAACGAAAAAAAAAAACACAAAGACTACATTTTTAACAAAAAGGGAAAAGAAAGATTAAAGCTTTTTGTGTTCACTAACCAGCCAATGCCAACCACCAAGACCAACAGCTTTTTTGACAACACCTTGAAGACCAACAAGCACCGATTTGGTTCGGTTATTTCCGGTCACCACCACTTTCGTATGACGTGGCAAAACCGATAACTCCTCCTCGCTACTGCTCTCTCCGCAGAAGCTCTGTATCTTATGAAATCCGCCATTAACAATTCCTGAGCTATCAACAGTTTCCAGCATTCTCCTTATTCTATAATTATTCGATTTAGTCTCAGAGGAAACAAAGCTTCTGAATTTCAGGTATGAGATCGAAGATCATGCATTGCGAGAGAGTGAAAATCAGATGATTGAAGAAGAAAGTAGAGAGAAAACGATGAAGAATTATTAGGGTTTTGTTCCAGAAGAAGAAGCAGAGAGAGAGATTAATAGAAAAAAGAGGGAAAAAAGCAGAGTAGAGATGGAGGAGGAAGCGAGGGAAAGAGGAGAGAGTGTGTGATAAACAGCGACCGGTTACCACCACGTTGTCCAATTAAAACTGACCACGTAAGCAGTGTTACTGACACTATATGCGTTACGCAGAAACAGAACCGGTTTTTTTGAAAAGAAAATTTTGGATTTTAACCGAAGGTTACTTTTTTCGTAATTTTTGACACGCGATTGACCTGAATGGTTGACTGGTGTTTAATAAAGACAGGGAGGAATGGGACCCATTTTATATTAAATGACGATTTTGACCCTTCTTTACGTCACTTTTTCCATTTTTTTGAAATCTCGGCTTACTCTGGTCCTTATCTCTTAAATTTTCTTTCTTTGTATAATTGGCTCTCTGTTTGGTAGAAAAATATTTGTTTCAAAAGACTATTGCTTCTTTTTTAAAAAAAATAACGTTCTGTAAACATTAAAAAAATGAAACCAAGGAAGCAAGTGCTGGTTTATAATATTAATGAAACTAATGGAACACATGCATAGAAATTAACAGTATGAACAACAGTTATAAACTCACTAATGACTAAGAATCTTTTAATAATTATTAATTATATGTTTTATTTCAAAAAGTACAAAGCAATATGACTCTTTAAAGATTTATTTACAAATCAGCTTTTTTGGGCAAAAACCAGATTTTAGTATTATAATTAGAATCTCAAAAAAAGAACTCAAGCCAAGTACTAAATCATATAATAATATAAAAAACATTATCATTACTAAGAAAACTATTAATATCTAATTTTTTTTTATAGTGATTAAATAACAAATATAGTTTATTTGCAGTAAATATTTACTTTAATCGTTTTATTTATTTTGATAATGGAAGACTAATTAAGAATCTGTTGATAATGATGTTATGAAAGGTCCATAAACCAAACAGTTATAAGAGCTTTCACTTACACAAACCCGCAGCCAGCAGGCTATGTTGTTGTGTATATGATTATGAATTCATTCTTACTAACTCAAAAGGAGAAGAGGTGATTTTTACTTTTTACTATGTAAAATTACACAGCTTTAGATCAATTATTTGTCCACTCTAACTTTTGCAAGGTCACTGATTGTCATAGTCAGAGATTACAATAGCCACCCCCACAAAATAAAAACAAACCGTCCCCATATTTGGGGAAACTATCAAAGCGACCCCTCACCAAACCCCTGCTTCAATTATTCACAACTTTTAATGCTACTTACCATCTCCCTCTCATCCCAAATCAAATTTTCATACACTTTCAAACACAAAAAAAAAGCTATAAAAATAAATCTAGAGACCAGAATGGGCCCTTTTGCTTACTTGAATTAAATGAACACAATCTGTTAGCCACCCGCCAATCTTCTCGAGGGCTAAATGTAAACATTCCAAAAGAATCGGGATTAATTTGATCAAACTGTAAAACTTCGAGGGGTTTATAAGAAAGTTCATAAAGGTGAAGGGTTTTGTCTGAAGCAGAGAGAGTAAAAAAACAGCTCGTTAATGTCGAAACCTAACAAGCTAACTCGCTTCCTTGATTCAGGTATCTACGAATCCGAAGATTCGACATGGCTATTCTTAGACCCGGTTCGTTTAATAAACCGTTCCTACACTCGGTTTAGGGTTTCACCTTCTTCTTACTACTCTCGTTTCTTCAACTCAAAGCAACTCAATTCACAACAACCAAACGAACCTAATTCGAGAAAGCGTAAACGGAATAAGCAGAAAAACGCTAGCTTTCACGTTCCTAGTGCAGGAGAGGAAGCTTTTAATCTTCGTCATCAGGAGGCGAGGCTGTTTTTATCTGAAGCGTATGAATCGCTTTTAAGGGAAACAGAGTTGTTGAGTTTAGTAAAGGGTTTAAGTGATGATGGTTTGTTGAGGAGTAAGTGTTGTGATGGTGATGAAGTGTCTTTTGTTGAGCTTGGAGGTGTGTGGCAAGCTCCTTTGTATGAGATAACACTGAGTTTGAATCTACATTGTGATGATGATAAAGGTTTTGTCTTTATCTGAATTTTACTTTTGCTAAAACTTATTTGAGAAAAAGAATGGATTTGATTATGTGGTCTTTATTAGAGAAATGCAGTGAAGAGAGAGTGTTTAAGGTGTTTAATAACCTGGTAGTGAACGAGACAGAAGAAGATGTTGAGGCTGAGTTTTCTAACCGGAGATATGTAATGCCTAGAGAGAGTTGCTTCTACATGGTTTGTGAATTTTTCCTTTTGCTTAATTTATGATTACTGTCTAAAGGTTGGATTTTTATTTGACTAACTTGATGTGTGATATGATCCTTCTCACGTTTTACTTTTTCCGGTGTTGACTTGAAGTCTGATTTACTGCACATCCGAAACCTTGTTCCTGGTAACTATTGTGCTATAGTCCATTAGAGACGTTTTTTTTTTGCTGCGTTAGAGTTTTTAGCCCTGGTTGATTGGTGTCCTAACTACTTTATTGGTTGGCCACTGAGCCTAGCTATTATGTACTGATCTTATTGACGTTATATGTGCAGCTAAACCTGAGTTACCAGTGGTAACTATTGTGCTATAGACTATAGCCTATAGTCCATTATAGACGTTTTTTTAAGAGTTTTTGGCTGCTTTAGAGTTTTTAGCCCTGGTTGATTGGTGTCCTAACTACCTTATTGGTTGGCCACTGAGACTAGTTATGTATTTATCTGATTGACGTTTTATGTACAGTTAAAGCTGAAGAAGGCTTCAATCTTATAGTTATTGATCCGCCCTGGGAAAATGCAAGCGCTCATCAGAAGTCAAAGTTTGTTCTTCCTGCCTCCTGTCATATAATATGTTGAGGAATAGACTGTTTTTGTTTCTGAATGAGGTTCATGAGACATGTTTTTTTTTGTTCTTGTTTTAGGTATCCGACTTTACCAAACAGATACTTCTTATCCCTCCCAATAAAACAGCTTATTCATGCTGAAGGAGCTCTCGTTGCGTTATGGGTGACAAATAGAGAGAAATTACTTAACTTTGTCGAGAAAGAGCTTTTCCCTGCGTGGGGAGTTAAGTACGCAGCTACAATGTATTGGTTAAAGGTTGATCTCAACTTGCACCTCTCTGTTCCCGTTCTTGATTTCTGAGTTTGCACACATGACTTTAACTTTTCACATCTTGTCTATGTAAATGTTTTAGGTGAAACCAGACGGTACAATGATTTGCGATCTGGACCTAGTCCATCACAAACCTTATGAATATCTACTACTAGGCTACCGCTTTGCCGAAGTAAGTCAATTCTTATATTTGTTACTTGAATAATGTTTCTCATTTGTGTGTATTTCACAGCTTGCAGAACCAAAACATAGTTCAGATTTTAACCTCTTGGATAAGAACAAAATAATCATAAGCATCCCTGGAGATTTTTCTAGGAAACCCCCAATTGGAGGTATACTTCTACATCTTTGTTTCACAATCTTCATCAAATTCAAGAGCATAATCCAGTTTATTTGTAATTCTAGCTTTACAAGTTCCCTGATTATTTTTCTTTCACTTGGACTTTGGTGTAGAGATACTAATGAAACATGTTCCTGGATCTCAACCATCTCGGTGTCTTGAGCTATTTGCTAGAGAAATGGCAGCTGGATGGACCTCTTGGGGAAACGAACCACTTCACTTCCAGGACTCGAGATACTTCTTGAAAGATTAATGGTGAATTAACAAACAGGTTTTTAGCCTGAAGAATACTGGCTTGGGACCAATTTTCACTGTGGAGACAGAGTGAGGAGAGACCTTCGGGTAGCACTAGAAGGTCTTGCCAACTGTTAGAATAAAACGAGAATCCTGAAAGAGCTACGGTTAGATTATTGTCTGAATGAGTCAGAACTGTACAATCATTTTTCTTTTCACATCATTATTGTACCATCAATTTAGTAAAGCTAATTTTTTTCTCCTGTCATGGCAGATGTTTCAGAAAATATATAAGATATCAACAGTACAGTAAGATCACATACTGTATTAATATCACAATTCATTAGATTTCGATTCTTTTTAAAATACAATATGAATAACTAAAGGCAAAAGCGTGTAAAATGAATTCAATAAGTGACTACTCGTTGGAAGATCCTATCAGCTTTGATGGGTCAATGTGTGGGGCAAATCCACTATCCCATTTTCCTATTATGTTCAATGAACCATACAATTTTGAAAAAACCATGAAAATTTTAAAAAATCAAGAACAGTGAAGGGAAGGACACAATAATAATTCCAAGTATAGTTGATTGTCACAGCAATCACATAATATGCTAACAAATATCAACGCTAATTATACACCAAACATGAAAGTTTCCAGTTTGATTGAACATTGTCTTTGTAAATCAAAATATTAAACCAGACATTAGCTTATGATAAAATGTGGCACTGTATATATGGAGGCAAGCTTTCCAAAATTTATAAATATACTCTTATCAAAACTTTACTACATAAGAGTTTAGTTTAAAGATGGCATCTTAATCATCTATCAGAACCCAATTTGCATATCTATTTTCTTCGCAATGTTATCAATTAAAATTCTAATTAATTTTGGTAGAAAGCAAACAAAGTAAAAAGAAAAAGATAGTAATCATTAGATAGCACATGATGATATACATCCACCACTAATCAGGACAAAAGTGAGCATTTCTTTTGTTTTTGTTTCATACTATAGCCTCTATAGTGACAATTAATTTCTAATTAAAACAAAAAAAATCATAAAATGATATGAGGCTTAAATTAATTTGTTTTCTATTAACATGTCCGAAAAACCAATCAGGTGGGGTGTTCCACGGTCATACTATCAAGGGACCCACTTCAATAAACCGGACCCCACATGTCTCTCTTCCCTTCTCTTTATAATCAGGTCCATTTACACAGACCGAGAGAAACATAACATAACGTACTGCTTCAACTGATTCACTGCGCAAAACCAGACCGTAAGTAACGTACGCCACAGCTAATCTCACCATTCGTCAATTCTGAGATCAACACGTGGCGGATTTACGTCAAACATATTTGTTTTTTTTTTAAATTTATTTTAATAATGAAAAAGATTCTTTGTATCATTCCAGCGAAGAGAGAAAAAAGCGTCTTGATCCTCGTGAGCACTAACTCCTCACACTCTTCTTTCTGAAGGTGGTCGGAGGGGAAGAAAGATGACGTCAGACGGTGCGACGTCGACGTCAGCAGCAGCAGCAGCGTTGGCGGCGAGGAGGAAGCCGTCATGGAGAGAGAGGGAGAACAACAGGAGGAGAGAGAGGAGGAGAAGAGCTGTAGCTGCCAAGATCTATAACGGTCTTAGAGCTCAAGGCAACTACAATCTCCCAAAGCATTGCGACAACAACGAAGTTCTCAAAGCTCTCTGTTCCGAAGCTGGTTGGGTTGTTGAAGAAGACGGAACCACTTATCGCAAGGTATATACAGATCTGAGCTTTTATATGTCTGAAAGTTTCTAAAAATAGATCTAGTTATGTTAGGGTTACTATTTTTGGATCTAATGTTGTTTTTGACCATTAGGGACATAAGCCACTTCCTGGTGATATAGCTGGATCATCGTCACGAGCCACTCCTTACTCTTCTTCTTATAACCAAAGTCCTTTCGAGAGTCCTATCCTTTCTTACCAAGTTAGTCCATCGTCTTCTTCCTTCCCTAGCCCTTCTCGTGACAACAACAACATCTCCACTATCTTCCCTTTCCTTAGAAACGGTGGGATACCTTCATCGCTTCCTCCTCTCAGAATCTCAAACAGTGCTCCTGTCACTCCACCTGTCTCTTCCCCAACTTCTAAACACCCCAAGCCGTTACCTACTTGGGAGTCTTTTACCAAACAGTCCATGGCCATTGCTGCTAAACAGTCAATGTCGTCTTTTAACTACCCGTTTTACGCTGTTTCTGCACCCGCCAGTCCCACTCATCATCGTCAGTTTAATGCTCCGGCTACTATACCTGAGTGTGATGAGTCTGATGCTTCAACTGTTGATTCTGGTCATTGGATAAGCTTTCAGAAGTTCTCGCAGCAGCCGTTTCGTGGCGTCTCTGCAATAGTGCCGGCTTCTCCTACTTTCAATCTAGTGAAACCGCCTGTGCCTCAGGGGTTGTCTCCAAACACTGGAGCGATACAAGAGATTGGACAGAGCTCGGAGTTTAAATTTGAGAACAGGCAAGTTACGCCGTGGGAAGGGGAGAAGATCCATGATGTGGCTATGGAGGATCTTGAGCTTACACTTGGAAATGCTAAAGGTCGTTAAGTTGATATATGAAGAACTAAAGGGGCAGTTGTGGCTTGTCGGAAGAAAAGAGGTTTGGTGTGTTGTTTCGGTTCATGGTTTTGGTTTCTTGTAATGGAATCAGTTATTCATAGTACCAGTAAGAGTTTGTTTCACATTGCATTATTTTGTAGATAGACTGTGTTGTAAGATTTATGTTTCTATTATGTATCATTCCTTTTAGATCTTGTAAGACATTACAAATATTTTTATTATGAACTATGAAGTCGCTTGATGAAACAGAGAGAACAATGTTGAAGAAAAAAGGTTCATTATGTAAAAAGGACTTAAGATTTTGAGTCATAAGTTACACAAAATTCATAATACAAAAAAAAAGGACAGAAGACATGAAACATGAAAACAGGAAAAGTAAAATTAGAATCACAAAATGTCAAGAAACTTTTGAGCCTACCCTTACTTTTTCAGGTGAATCATTCAGAACCATCTGGGAAGCTATCAAGTGCGTCTTGCTTACCGTTTACATAAAACTCAACCACAGCTTGCATTCTATTAAGCTTATCTGGATGGTAATTCACATGAACAATCACCGGCTTCACCTTCTTCTTCAATTCCTGATCCTTCCTAACAGTCTTGAAAAGAACCTTACTGTTCATAAACTCATACATATCCATCACTCTCTTTGACGCATGCAGCCCAATATACTCAGGATGCGAAGGATAAAACAACTCCTCATTGAAAACCGCCTGGTCCCACAGTTGAGCCTTGGAGAGCCTATCCGCAACACGATCAAGCAGCTCGATGGAAGGAACCGTAGGCCTTAGATAGAAAAACCCTGAATTAAAAACCCATATCCTCATGGTGTGAGCATACCTAGCCCATCCCATGGCTGGCTCATCAAACACATCGTTGAATCCATAAGCCGTCATGTTACTATGTCCATCACTCATCGACTCAACGTCAGAATCTCTGTATAAATGACTAAACGGGTTCTGCAAGAAGACAATGTCCACATCCGAGAGGAGAACACCGTAACCAAGCTGCAAAAACTCTCTCAACACACGGAACTTAAGTCCAGAGACGGCATGGTTACCTCCTGTTTTCCCGACCGTGTCCACGTCCTTGTCCGGATCCCTCTTGTAATAAGCAACATCGTTTGATTTACAGAAATTCTCAATGTAATCATCCAACGCAACAACAAGATAGTTAGTTATACCCAATCTCTTGACGCTAGCGATCTGAACCTCTAGCATTGCTTTTACGTTCGAGTTTGCGAGAGCCACGATCACCTCTTTGTTAACAGCAATGTCTTGTAGAATCTTTGCTAGTCTCGGGTTTACGGATTCATCGGGGAGGATGGTTGGATTAGTTCTCAGACTCTTGACAGTTCCGAAAGGACCAGCTTTGATCTGTGTTCCTAAAGATAGAACTTGTGTTCTTGCATTGTCTGATCCTTGTTGAGCTAAACGTAGCTTCTCTGTTAGCTCCCTGACCTGTTTCTTCAGCTCAGCGTTCTTCTCTGAGAGTGATGCAAAGTCTGACTTCAGTTGCTTGATACGTTCGGGCGATTCACAAGAAGATGATCCAACCTGAACAAAAAAAAAAAAAAGAACAAAGAATCTATAAACTACTCAAAACTAATCTCTAACTAACACAACACATTGCAAGTTAAAGACCTATAAGGGGTGAGATTAGGGCAGGGGGATCTCAATTAAGGTCAAATTAATCTATGTAACTTGTTTACAGAACCTAAAGGAGAGTTTTTTTTTTTTTTAAGGGTTTAGGGCACAAGATCGAGTACCTGGACGCGTTCATTAACTGTAAGAGAGGAGTTCGAGTTGAAGAAGCCGTTAGGGAAGAGAACGGCGCAAACGCAGCCGATGATGATACCGATGAGGATGGCGATCGCAATTCGAGATCCACGGACCTGTTGGGTTCTGTCTCTACGACCCGCCATGGTCGTTGACTTTCTCTCTCCTCCTTTCACAGAAGCCAAACTGGGAATGACTCCTTGTCTGATTTGGGCTAAATGAGAAAAGTTTGGTACAATGTGCTGGATCAGAGACTTTTTCAGACAAAAGCCCTAGAAAATGTGGTGTTTGTCTTCGGTGGTTTTTGTAGTTGTTGAGAGAAGAGAGAGAGAGGGAGAGGTGGTTTGGGCTGTTGTGCGTAGACAACGACGACGACGATGAATCAAAGGCTGCTAAGTAGTATTCGTGTAGTTCAAGGTGTAGATTTATTTCTTAAGTTCACTAGTTTAGAATGAAGGCTGAACCGTTGGATGAGATGACTTGATTCATCTGACGGTCAACATAAGCAAAATATGGAACCTGTAAGTGGTAATTTTTTTTTGTCAGCTGTATTTGTAAGTGATAATTAATTTTATTAATATTATGAATGAATGGAAATAAAAAAATAGAATGCAAATGAATGGAATTAAAATATCAAAAAGAAAAAAAAATATTGCATTTCATTCATTTAGGAGTTTAATCATAAATGTTTTATAACTGTATTTCATTTTATTCTATTTAAATAGTTTTTTTTATTTTTGAAAATCTATTTGTAATGAGTCATTCTATACAATTTTATTCTAAAAATTAGTAAAATCCTGTTGCAAAGTGACAAAAAAAAAAAAAGTAAAATCCAGTTGCAGCTAAAGAGAGATCTGAGAAAGAGATTAAAAGATAACTCCTCACATGTATAATCCACTTGCTAGCACGATCACACATGATAGACCAAACACTCTACATGATTGAGATTAGTTAAGCTGTCAAAGCCTTGAATCGCATCTTTACTACCAAACATCTATCTTAGTGATCAAGAACGCGGTTTCAGCCGAGATTTTGAGTTGTGCACCACTTCGCTAAGAATTTTAACATTATTCAAACATTTAAAAGAGAATGTCTGTAAAATAAAAAAGCTTGAGAATTACAAAGAGTATAACTTTCTTACATTGTCAAAACTCAAAACGCATAAAAAGTCCAGAGTGTTTCTTTCAACTCTCATCATCCATAACTTTGTTATTACCATACAAACTATCTCTTCTATTACCAAACCCACTCGAATCAAGCCCCGACCCACCTCGATAGTTATTATGATCCTGCGCAGTCGTTCTATACCCTCCTCCATCCACAGGAGCTCTCGAACTCTGCTCATTACGGTACGGTGACGAACCAACGTACCTTCTCCTAAGATCCATGAGCTCATCGCTTCTCCTCGCAGGCTCAGTAAAACTCGGCTCTTTACTTGAGCTGTTCTGTCCTGCGCCCGTTGGAGTAAACGGATCATCTGGTCCCCACGCAGTGAGAGACTCTTTCTTCTTAGCAAAAAAATGCCAAGCTCCGAATAAAAACAGTATAAAGAAAAACACAGGACTGCTCCAAAGCATTGTGTTGAACTCTCCTTTGAGATTAGGAAGCTTTGACTTATAAACACCGAAGTAGCCGTCTCCTAAACCCATCACAAGAAGATTCTCCCTGTCGCTAGCTACCAACGGTCTCGCCTTTACCGCTACATTTCTTGAAGATGACTGACGATGGCTCAAGAAAGACGATCTAATCTCCTCTAAACCAGCGGAGAACAACAGACGTGGACCAGCGGTTCGTACGTAATGCTGAGTCGATACATTGAAAGCGAAAACCTTCTCTTCGTTGATCACAAGAAGGTATCCTTTGATTGATTGTAACGCGACCGGCTCCTCCATTTGAAACTTCTTTTTCGATCTAACTCTACATTTGAAGTTCATTATATCTCCGTGAAGCAGTACATGAATGATCTCACCTTCTGAGGTGAATCCATAAGCTTTAGACCGTTCCGTCGCGTCGAAAACGTAGCTTCTCGCGAGAGAATGGTTTAGTCCTTCACATTCAGTTTCTCTAATCTTCATACTCCTTAAGTCTAAGGAACCAGCGCCAGACTCGGTTAGAAACAATAGCCTCTGCTTCAAGAACACTAACGGTCTACTAGTCGGTATAACCGAACCGTAAACGGTTCGGTTCTCGGTTAAAACCGTTAGCTTCCCGCTAAGATCCGTAGCTAAAATGTACCTAACACGACCAACGTGATGCACTTCCAACAGAGTCACAGGATCAGCCGAATCATCAACATCAAAGGCCCCAACGTGTTCCATCGAGACGGAATTCGAGTTCCAATCCTCACCGTTGGATCCCTCGTGGATCCGGTGGAACAAAACGGCGCCGTTCTGATGACCAGTGACAACGAAACTCGAGTTCTTGAACATTGAAAGATACGAAACCATAGCTGTGACGGGAGAATCAACGGTAGTGAAAAACTCGATTAAAACGTCGCCGTTTCGTAAGAACACGTAGACTCTACCTCTGGAGTCTCCGATCGCGAAGTACTTGCTGGAGCCTTCGAAGTCTTTGAAGGGTAACACGTTGATACACGTGGCGTCTGAGTCGAGCTTCACTGCTGATGTGAAGGAGAATCTCTCCGTCCAAAAGGGACTGTACTTCGTCACTGAGAACGCCTTTGCTCCTCCTCCGATGGCTTCATCATCTGATTTAGAGATCTTCGATTCAGATAACTTAGCGTCTAGATTAGAGACTATTTCTGTTAGATTCTTAACGAGCTCCTCGAGCTTGTGTAATAGAGAATCTTCTCTGGTAGATTCGGTAACCGACGGAGCTACATCGGTGGAAACATCTTCGGTTTCGAGAATCGGAGACTCGTTGGCGTACGACGGCGTGATGAAAAGGAGAGTGAGGGAGATTAGAAAGTAGAAAGTGAGAAAGAAAGACTTGCCGTTTCGAGGATTCGTCATTGAAGTGAAGAGGAAAGGTTTCTTCTTTTTTTTTGTTGTTGCCGTGTCTGAATCAGTGAGTAACGGCCATGTGTGTGTAGATCTGTAAGAGATGGTGAAAGGGTTTAGGATCTGGTTGGAATTTAATTTTAAACTGAGATTTTGTTTTTTTTTTTGGGAAGTGATTTGTCTGAAAGAAGAGACTTTTTATGTCCGAGATTTGATCCGGTCGTCTTCAGTCACGGTGGCGCTATGAAGAGATCAGATGCATTTCTTTTAAGATATTTTTAAGACTTTATTTTTTTTTTGACATCAGCATTCAACAATTTTTCTTTTTAACATATTAAATATGTGATTGGTGAAATTTGTGGTTGGTTTTATAATAATTTTCTCTTTAACGTATGAACTAAAATCAGTAATTATTGTTTTTGGATCAAAAGCTGAAACTACCTTTATGAAAATCTAATACATTACACACATACATCAACTAATGTCATGACTTGTGAATTGTGATACATAATAGTCTCATTTAAAAATGATAGCATCATAAGACGTTATCTCTTTGAGAAATAAAAGTTATAACTTAATTAATAAATGTAAAAACGTATATTCAAACCCTGAAAATGCATAAATTGTTTTTTGGGTTAATTTTTTGTTTGTTTGTTTCAGGTTAAATCAATTTACTTCACGAACTAAACAATAATATCAAAGATATCATTAGTTATTCGCCGCCGACCCTTTTAGATGGACACATATAGAAATAGAATTAGAAAAACCTCACATGCTGTTCAGCGACAAGATCCACAGACTCTCCACGTGAAGTTTCTTGGTCACAGAGAATCAATGCCCTCGTTTTCTTCACAACACATTGTCCCAATGCTCGTACATGGACAAAGTCCACCCCCAAAATCTCATATGCAAGATCCCGTAAACTTTATTTCAGTTTAAAGATCAACCAAACAGAAAATGCGTTACTTGCCAAAGAAAATCGATTGTATCAACCCCTTTGGTTTTGTCATTGGAAAAGAGAAATGTGAAATGAGGAGAAAGAGAATTGTCTGAATAGCCGAGGAGACTGCCTACAGGTTAACCAACTCAGAGACTATAGGTAGTCTTTGATATGGGTGTGTTAAGACGCAGGCAAGTCATCCTTGGCTACCACACAGCTTCTCATTCTTCATGTCACCGTTTCTCTTTATATGGTTATCTATTTCTTATGAAGTTGTTGATATGCACACTCTAATACTATGTGTATATATAGGCCTGGCGGCATGAACATCTAGTGGACACAATATGTTGACTCAACTTGTGTGCATGGCGATGTTGGAATATGTTCTTAAAGATTTGGTACTGGGACTGAAGAGTAATACAAGTTGGCAAACCACACTTAAATATTCGTATTTTGTCGAAGCTATATATGAAAGTTGTTTATGTATTGGAGATCTCTATTCATATGTGCTATATAGTGTTTAGAAGAAGAAAAACAATTAAAAGTGATATTGTCACTACTGTTAGCTAGCTTAGTTACCAAAACAATGTCACTACAATACAATGATCATTCTCTATAGACACATCACCTGATGTTTTTGAGTTTATAACTAAGTGTTCACTCATCTAAATGCTCAAATGGCAAGAAATATGCTTTGAAGCCTATCTTCTCTATCGGGTCAATACCCTTTTTCTTACTAGTTGACTACTAGTGTAACTGGGACCATAAAGATAAGAACATTTTATAAAAGTCATGATGCCATATGAATTTGTGTAGTATAATGGAATATATGGAGCTTTCTGCGAATACTTATTTGAAAATACAATTTATGGTATTATTCTTATTTCTAATTCTATTCATAGTTAGCTTGAAAGAATGTACCATCATGAGAGATGTTGGAAACGAAAGCTGTCGCCCATATATTTAGCATTTTGCTTCTTTTTTTTTTTTAAAGTTTTTTTTTGTATGTAGAACTTGTATGAAGGATCTGAAAAAAGCCACACAATCAATAATGTATGTACAGTTATTGCCTCTTATAATATTTATCGCCAGAGTCTTATATATGGCACTAATAGTATGATTATCAACTTAGCATATGGGACAGCTAGTCTATTAATAATATAAATTCCAATGTCACGTAGCGATATTTACACAAATCTTTGGTCACTTAAAATTCAAACGAGTTCTACATACAAAAAGTACAAGTTTTATATCTACCTATATCTACCTAAATATATGGGCATATTTGATCAAATATGTTGGACTCTACAGAGTTCTATATACCTACACATTTCTTTTGTAGAGTCATGCATAGATCACAAACAAGTTACAGGTCGAACAAAAGGTCATCTTAACAAAAGGAACGAAGAAAGTAATGAAAATGGTAGTGCATTTATTTTCAAAATGCACTATATATATAGTGCTTCTTGTATGTAAGATTTAAAAGTTGGGCTTTTTGCAAATTTGACTCAAAACTCCAAGTCAAACACAAAACTAACCTCTTCTTTTGACTCATCTTGTTTTTGTCCTATTCACCCCACATCTTCATTTTATTTACGAAAATGCCATTTATATGTTTTTTGAATTTTTTTTCGAAAATGGCATTTTTACTCTCTCAACCTCATCATCTTCAAGTATTTACAA